GATCGCGAAGCTTGGTAGGGAAGGGCCGCGTTGTCATGCGGCATTCCCGGGCCGCAACCACAATGCGACGACTGTTGTCAAGTTGGGATTTGATTTGCCACCAATTGCGCAGCCACGGCCTGGCGAAGTAGGGATGGAGATTGCTTCTACGTATGCCAAATCTGGTCGTATGAAGATAAGGCGACAATATATGCCGGTATGGTCGTCGAAACCTGTACACCGGCTGCTAAAAACAAGAGCAAACGAAGCGCTTTTGGCTCCAGATTAGAACTCGATCATCTTCTATGACCGGTACCAGCACATCCATCATTTAAGTCTGGGACACCGCTTTCAATGTTTTCGTAATGCCAATCTGCCTTTGGGATGAACCACTGTGCAAAGGGATCGCTGGCGGTCGGCATGAGCGGTCGGTAGACTTCTTTGTACATACCGGCGAGCGAATGAAGAAGAAGGAGATTGCTAGTCTCTACGTATGCGAAGTCTTTGTGTAATTATGAAGATTCCGCGAAACACGTTCATATATATACCGATATATAATGACTTGCACATACAGTTGCAATAATGTCAACATCCGTCGGGCCGAATTCTCGTCGACTGTGGAAGCTACTGCATATCCCATTTTCCGTCGGAGTAGTTGCAGAAAAGTTCGAGAAGCCAAGCGTGATTAGTGTTCTAGATGGCGATCAGATAACGTCTTGCCTGGAAGATCAAATTCTTCGTTTCTGGTCAATCGTGCACCTTCTCATGTACATGGTTGGAAGGCAATACAAACATATCTCCCAGGCAAGAGTTGTGCGACTTCTTAGTTGCGGCAACCCCATACCGGTAGTGCACCTCGTCCCTTCGGAAGAAACCCCAATTCTTGTTCGCCGTGCATGAATTCCTGGGGTAAGCTGTAAGAAATAGAATTGATACATTCACAACCATTCATTGCCGTGTTGAGTTGGGTGCAACACATCGATTTGGCACAAAAATACGCTACGCTATGACAGCCGTCCGTTAAAGCATACGAAACGCGGATTAACATGTGTTAAAGATGTCGAATTTGTGACCGCTGATTTCAGCGGGATGTCCAAAGAATGGGTGTAAGGACTTCCACCTGGTAAAAGTTTACGTAGTATACATCGAAATGTTTGCGCAGTACAATTTGTATTAGTACACCTTTCACTACTGTACTTTGAGGTAGGGTAATGAGCGGTGAAATTATAGAAAAATATGTAATCTCACTTGCTGGTTCTGCGCGCATGAGTCATATCTCGGCTTCTTGGGTGTGTAGTGACGTGACTCCATTTGATCTCGTGAATACCACTATGTTAGTGTTGCCGACACACGTCGCCTATATAGTACGCGATGATTGGCGTGCGTCATAGCCGGGTGGCAGCAGCTTCTTTTGCTCGACTTGAGTTTCAATCCTCTCGAAACAGGAATGGTAGAATTTCATTTGCAGTACGAGCAAGGTGCCGATGTAGTGTTGATACACGAACCAATGCTAAACATGTGCCTTCGACGGAAAGTGTGTCGCTGATTCTCTTGATGCCCAAAATACTAAAGCTTTGTACGACGATCGAATCTCGACAACATCTTGCAACGGTCGCAAGTGAGCCCGCCGTTTGCACGTCGGATCGTCACGGCGGTGATTATGCGCCCATAATCTGAGACCGATCAGGGTACAGTAAGCCAATCAGCGCATGCGAAATGTGGTCTCGATCTTTGCGTCGAGCAACTCTTGTTCGTATTACATGTAGTGCTGCCGGGATAAAGGAGCGCATTACGCGGGACGGCCAATCTCTCCTTGCTCACCTGCTTGGCCACGTGGAGATGAGCACCTGGCAATGGCACGCCACCGATCTCGCCGTAGCGTGTCGCGCGCATGTGAGCTGCCATGGTTCAGCGGGAAGAACTCTTGCAAAGTTGCAGCATGGGCGTTATCAGCGACCCCTCCAACGCTTTCAAGAGGGAGCGATGGATGGATGACGTTTATGGCGATCGCCAACTCTGCAGCTCCACTCTGCCTGTCTGATGTACAGTTTTGGTGACAGCTGCGCGACGATCAATGATGTCTGCCCCACAAAGACGCCGCCGTTGCCATCTCTTCATCTCTTTTTCTTGCAAGCACGGCCGTGCGACACAAAGCTTGTCAATTGGGCGTCGTGCGACGCCATATGGTGATTTGGTCTTGATCTCTCTTGCAGTACGACAGTGGACTGCGGCTGATGAGGGATGGTTTGGTCTTGATCTATTTCCAATTCGATGCCCCCTTCCTTCTCATCCAACGCTCAACCCACCGCCACGGCCAGACGACCCTTCCAACTTCAAGCTCTGCTCGCATTACAAATTAATTGTATGCCAGCTGCCACACTGTACGTCGAGTGGCGTCTCCCATGTTGCCTCGTGCACCGCGAAATGGCAACGTTGATGCCGGCGTGCCTCCCATCCTGCTCCACTCTTCCTTATACAAACCCGAGTATACTCGCATGGCGACGACAGCTGGTCGTCCGTCTGGGTTGGCTTCTTGACACGCGAATAGTGTCATCTGTTTTCGAGCGATTACGGCGCCATGATGGCTGGGCCTTTCCATTTTCCATCCAATCAAATAAGTCCAGGCACATCTTTTCAACCAATAATCACTCTCCGTTCCCAATCACTCGCTGTCGTGGGACGATGCCAGGATCGGCACCTGAGCTAAGGCCGCCCTGCAACCGGCTATACGCGCGTGTCTCAGCGTAGCAGCGGCCAAGAATCAGAGCGAAAAGTCATTTGTGAACTTACCAAGTCGCCGACACAGCATGATGTACTTCTTTCCGCAGAGCATGCTCCCGGTCATGACGACCACCGTCAAGGAAGAGCGCCCCGCCGTCTCGGGTGCGTGGTCCGAGCTTGAGCACAAGCGGTTTCTCGTCGCGCTCGAGCTGTATCCCAAGGGCCCGTGGAAGGCGATCGCAAGCTACGTCGGCACGCGCACCCCGCGCCAGACTCAGACACATGCCCAAAAGTACCGCGAGAAGCTCTTCCGCCAGATGCGTGGGCTCAAGAAGGGCCCGGGCTCCAAGGCCAAGAAAACGCAAGATGTCATGGAGGCCGTCTATAACGAGATCAAGTCGATCACGTTCGAAGCCGTCGACCCGGTCGCAATGACACCCACGGCGGCGGCAACGTCCGCTGCATCGCCTACCGACGTCACGGATGTCTCCGAGTGTCAGATGCAGATGCTCATGCTCGACAACATGACGTTTGAAGAATCCCTCGACTACCTCATTGGGTGTGTCGAGGAAGTGTAATCGCCGACGACGTCAATCATGGAAGCCTATTTATCCCGATAGAAAGACAGTGTGTCGTCGTCGTCTTAGTTGTCGAACTTGAATGTATTTACATTTTATGAAAGACCTGTAGTGGACCTTAATCCCACCGCCGCTGCACAGCCACGCAGCGCGCAACGCCGCAAAGGTCGAACACGATGCGTGGCGCGGACCAGGCTGGCGTGCCTTCAAAGAGCGACGCTACCGTGCCGGCTTGGGTAAACCCGACTTCAAGGAGCACGTCGCCACCGGGTGCGACAAGGGGAGGAAGCCTCGGAATCAGAGCCTCGTACACGGCCAAACCGTTGTTGTCCGCAAAGAGTGCCGAGTGGGGTTCGTACGCCGCCACTACACATCCATAGTGGAGCTATCCGCTACCTCATATATCTGGCATGTCGTGTACCGTGGTCATCCATGACATCGACTTCACTGAGAGCAATGTATGGTGGGTTGCACAACACAACGTCGAAGTCTTCGTACAACTCCAAGGTGGTCATGTCGTGTTCCATAAAACGCGCTCGGGCGGCAACGCCAAGCGCAACAGCATTGGATGACGCGACGTCCAGCGCCGCTGCCGAGACGTCGACACCCAGGCCCGTCGCGCGCGGGTACTCGGTCAACGCTGCGACCAAGAGACAACCGCTGCCGGTGCCAAGGTCCAGTACGCGCAACGCTTCGCCTTTGTCTTGCCGGTGTTGCTACAACATCCATTTTACGTCCGTTGTCATCGTCGAACGTACGAGCATGATATCCAGTAGCCGCTCCGTTTCGGGTCTCGGAATGAGCGTCGCCGGCGTAACCCTGAACGGCAAGGACCAAAACTCCTTCGTGCCGAGAACGTAGGCCAGCGGCTCGCCCTTCAGACGACGCGCAGCCAATGCATCGACAGACGACCATTGCGCTTCGCTTAGCTACACGCCAACGACGATGAGCCGCGTCGCTCCAGGAGCAACTTCGCACCGGCGTCGTCGGCGCCGACACCATGCCTTCGATAGTCATCGGTGGATCGAACGCGTAGCGCACGAGAGCACTTGCATCGAGGCGCGGAAGCCCGCGCGCCATGAGCTGCTGGCGCGCAGCCACCACCGTGGTGCACCAGCGCTTCATTGTCCGGATAAATGACTGTCATATCCGGTTCTCCGACGGCGGGTGGGTGCGACAGGCGTGGTGCATGATCGGCTTACGAAACACGGAGCGGTCGTTGAAGTGCCGAAAAGATCAAGCGTGAGCGAGAAGCTTGAAGTGCCGAAAAGATCAAGCGTGAGCGAGAAGCTTGAAGGTGGCACGGAGAAATATCAAGCCCACTACGACTGCAACCAAGCTCGGTCCGCCGGCGTGTCTTGTCGCGTTTGGCCGCAACAGCTTCCGTTCGCAGTGGACACGCGTGCGTGCCCCCGAGTTGGTTGCCCCTCTGCAAAAGTGAAGGGGAAATTGACAAATCTGGGTGTGTTGCGCCAAAACAGGAATTTTGAAGTTCCCGGCAGGGTATTTGGGGTTGTGTGACAAGGTTGGCGCAGGGAAGGGAGGTTGAAGGTTTGTTGCACAGGTATTATTGTTTGCGAATAAGGAGGCGTAGAAGGACAGGGGCACGTCTCGACGCCATAGCGTGCCTCAGAGCTGTGCCACAGCATAGTAAAACCACGTCTATGTATTTTTATGCAATTTACCCAGTTTTGGTTGAATTGGCGCCATCGTTCACCCAGTTTGGTCATTTTCCCAAGTGGCAAATAGATTGGCACAAAATCTATGACTCGATCGCGGCCATTTGGCGCGCCACGAGCGCCTTGTAGATGCCGCCGACGGCCATGAGTTGGTCGTGCGTACCTTGTTCGACGATGCGGCCCTCGTGCGCGACGGCAATCTTGTCTGCGTCGCGGATCGTCGTGAGGCGGTGGGCCACAATCACGGTCGTGCGCTTCTTCATTTTCAGAAGCGCGTCGAGTGACGCTTGCACGATGCGCTCGCTCTCGTTGTCGAGCGCACTTGTGGCTTCGTCCAGCAGCAAGACCTCTGGGTCCCTCAGAATGGCGCGCGCAATGGCAATGCGCTGCTTCTGGCCGCCCGACACTTGCACACCGCGATCGCCGACGTGCGTGTGGTATCCGTCGGGAAACTTGGAGATGAACTCGTGGGCGTTGGCCATCTTAGCAGCAGCTTCGACATCGTCCATGCTCGCTCCCGGCTTGCCCGTCAAGATGTTGTCAGCAATCGTGCCCGTAAAGAGCACAGGCTCTTGCCCAACGAGTGAAATGTGCTCGCGGAGCCAACTAAGATTCAGCTCGTGGAGGTCCACGCCATCAAGAAGCACGCGGCCGGCCAGCGGATCGTAGAAGCGCTCGATGAGTCCGATGGCCGTGCTCTTGCCACTGCCGCTCGCGCCAACGAGCGCGACCGTCGTACCGGCCTCGATCACGAGGTTGTAGTCGACATACACGCGCGAGTCGGGCCGCGCAGGGTACGCAAACTGAACGCTTTCAAATGTGATCGTGCCCACGACGTGGTCCAGTGTCCGCCCGGTCGTCGACATGGCATCGATCTTGGGTATGCGGTCGATGAGCGAGAAAACGTTCGAGGCGGCGCGTGCGACCTTGCCGCGCTCGGCGAGACTCTGCGCCGCCTGCCCGACGCCAAAGCTGCTCATCATGATGGCCATGAGCACCATGAACATCTGCTCGAACGTGATGATGCCGTGCGAGATCATGTAGCCGCCGATGTAGAAGAGGAAGGCCATCGCGAAGAACATCATGCTTTGGGCAACACCAAAGACGAGACCACCGATAAGCGCAGCCCGCTGGTCAGCTTTGATGGCGACGGCGACGTGCTTGCAGTATGTGGCTGCGATGGTAGACTCGAGGTTGAACGACGCGACGGTGCGAATCGAGTTGATTGTTTCCGAGAGGAGTGCACCGGCAAGAACGTCGCCAGGATTCTCCTTGGTTTCATCGGATTGCATTGACTTGGCGCGCATCTTGCTCGCAAACGCGAGCATCGGGAAGACAGCGAGGAGCGCGAGCGTCATTTGCCAGCTGTAGTAGAACGCGATCGCAAAGGCCGTGAGGAGGCACACCGCCATGTTGAGCACGTTCTTGAGGAGGTCGGCGGAGATCTTTTGCATCATGGCGCAGTCGGTCGAGAGGCCGGTTGTGAGCGCCCCGGACGAGTGTTCTGGCAGGTCGTACCATCCAACCTCTTGGCGCAGCATGGCCGCAAAACCCATCGCTCGGATGCGCGTTGTGAGGCGCTCCGAAACGACGCTAAAGCCATAGTCCTGCGCGATCTTCCCAGATGCGTAAGCGGCACCAAGGATCAAGAAGTAGCATCCCCAGTGCCAACCCCGCGTCTTCATTTCGTCAGCCGTCAGCTTGAAGTCGAAGAAGAGCACAATACACTTGGACAAGAGCACGCCCCAGACTGGAAACGTCGCACCCGAGATGACCGATCCAATGCAGCCGAGAATCGTATAGTGTAGCTCCGGCTGGCTTAGGGCCCAGATGCGTGAAGCAGGCACCTCGTACAACTTGGTCGACGGCAGCTCCTCGGCGGAAGCCACTGGTGTTGACTTCGCGGGAGTTGAGGGGGACACCACGGACGAACCAACGGTCGCAACGTCGTCGTTCTCTTCCGCAAAACCCATCACGCCGCTCGTTCGCTTCGCTGGGCTTTTCCGCGACTGGGCTTCGACAAGCATGCGGTACTGACCGTTCTCGAGGCGCATGAGCTCGTCGTGGGACCCTTGCTCGACAACGCGGCCAGTGTCCAAGACGACAATACGGTCGGCGTCACGGACCGTGGCCAGTCGGTGCGCAATAATGATTGTCGTGCGCTTTCGCGCTTCGAGGAGCTTGTCGAGCGATTCCTGCACGATGCCCTCACTTTCCGTGTCAAGCGCGGACGTTGCTTCGTCCAGGAGAAGCACCGCTGGATTCTTGATGATTGCTCGGGCTATCGCGATGCGTTGTTTCTACATAAACAAACAGATGAAGAGTGCTCTCTCACTGAAGCTGGGGCACCTGACCGCCCGAGAGCTGCGTGCCGCGCTCGCCGACCATCGTATCAAAGCCAAGAGGAAAGCTCTTGATAAAGTCGAACGCGTTGGCTTGGCGCGCAGCGTCGTGGATCTCATCGAGCGTCGCCCCCGGCTTGCCGTGGCCAATGTTGTTGGCGATTGTATCTGCGAACAAGCATGGCTCTTGGCCGACGAGGCCTATTTGCGACCGCAGCCAACGCGTGTTGAGCTCTCGCAAGTCGACGCCATCGAGTTTCACGACACCAGAGACTGGGTCGTAGAAACGCTCGACGAGCGACACGATTGTACTCTTGCCCGACCCGCTCGGACCCACGAGCGCGACCTTCTCGCCCGCGCGAATGTCCAAGCTGTATCCGTTGCACACTTGAATTTCGGGGCGGTTGGGGTACACAAATTCAATGTTTTCGAGCGTAATCTGACCATCAACGTGGTCGAGTCGTCGGCCCGTCGTTGCCATCGGGTCGATCGCCGACGCCCGGTCCATGATGGCGTAAGCGTCAAAGGCCGCTGCGCGCGCCGACGCGGTCGCTTCGATCGATGGACCAGCTTGGCCAAGAGCCATGGCGCCCATGATAACACCAAAAAAGACGATGAGGACGCGCCCCCCGTCGTAGCAGTCGTTCGTGCACTTTGGAGTTTCCAGGTTGTCGTTGGCTACCAAGACTGCGCCGTACGAGATGGCGACCGTGTACGTGACGAAAATCATGCAAAAGGTAAAGCCGCCGCTAACGCCCGACATGAGGCCCTTCTGGATGCCTGCGGCCTCGGCCTCGACGAGCGCATGGTCGTACTTTTTGGCTGTCGCGGCCATCGAGTTGAACATGTGCACCGTGCGAATGTTGCTGAGCGCTTCTTCGGCGACGGCGCCGGCAGCGCCGTAGGCTTTGATCGCGCGCTGGACCGCGGCCGCGACCGTCTTAACCATTGTAAAGATGCCCGTCGCCAAGAGCGGGAGGAAGGCAAGGACGACGAGCGAGAGCTTCCAGCCCGACTTGAAACCGATCGCGATGCCGCACACAAACATGGCGAAAAAGTTGAATCCGTCGCCCACCTTGCGCCCGATGCCGTCCTGAATAAGGAGGATCGTCTCCGTAACCTTGCTCGAGAGCGTCTGCGGGTTGTTGACGTCGAACCAGCCGATCTCTTGCTTGAGGATACCGTCAATGTAGCACGCGCGGAGCCGCTGCGCCTGGCGCGACGATGTGTAGCTCCAGCAAGCAACTTGACCAAAGCCGCAAATGATGACACCGACGCCCATGCCCACAAACGTGAGGCAGATCGTCGTAACTTGGTTTAGCATGTCGCTGGTCTACATACACGGAATGATCAGTCACGTCATGGATTGCATTTGAGCTGTACGCCAGTGGGGTTGAAGGCCGATACCACACCGCCGAAGAGAAGGATGCGAAGTGGCTGCGCGCAGCCCGTGGCTGTCGCACAGAGCGTACCGACGACCATAAGGCCCTTGTCGGTTGGGTCCGCGAACCGAAAGAGCTGCGAAAATGAGACCGACTCTCCCGGCTTGCGCTTTGGTTTCACAGCTTTCTTGCTCGACGGCGATGGTGGCGGCGATGCGACGCCTCCCGCCTTTGGCGTGGCTGCCAGCACGTAGCCGGGCTCAGGTGCTGGCGTCGGGTCCGAGTTGCGCATGTGCACCTTGACCATGCGACTACAGATCGGAAGTGAACGTGTCTGAACTCACGGAAAGGGATGCTAAAGATAGCGACCAGCACAAATCGAGTTTGTGCTTGGCGCCAGGCCCAGCACTTGGGTTGAACAACGGCCATGCTAAGAATAAAGTCTTTCTGGGTTTTGGTTTCTTGGATCATTTGATGCTGTCGGTTCATGATGCGGAAGCCACCTTGCCCACTCGATGTGCTTTCTCGACGGACTGAGCTCGCTCAGGTGCTGGCAACAGAAAGATTGCGCAAGGGATGCGATCCTCGCGCGAGATCACCGTTGTTATGACGCTGCAGCGTCAGTGTTATCGTCCGATGACCTGCTTCAATTCAACGAATTACGAAAGCAAGCTGCACCGCACAATTGGCATTCTTCGCACAATGCAGCACCTTTCTGTGAGTTCTTTCGAGCACGATCTTTCAACAGCAGCGAGAATACATCTTGCCTCAAAAAGGCAAAAACAAGATATTTGGAGTATACCATAATAAACTCAAGGTGTATGAGATTCAAGAGAGGCAACGCAAGAGAGCAAAGTGAAGTGTGTATTCGTGATATGTACCAGGTAGTGGACGACTCGGAGCTTGCCAAAGCATCGGTGCCATCCGGATACGGCGGAAAGAAGGCCCACCAATCTCATCTCCTCGCGAACGAAAGAGGCTATCGCTATCGAGGCTTGAGCCTACCGACATGCACCTGGAAGCACCGTCAAATGGCATCAATTTTGTCGTCAAGCGAATGGCCAAATTTTTGTCGACGCATTTGTGGCTTGCCATCGAGTTGCAACCCAGAAGCCCTGCGAGGGCACAGCGCGGCAACTATGCTCGGAATTCGGTACCAAGGCGTGGCGGCGCAAGGGTCTCGCGAAGGAGACCGTTGTTATTGAATGGAGTTATTACATGCAATTATAAAGATATGGCGGACTCCTAATGCGCTCGTGAAGCAAAGTCGGTGCGTCAAGCGAGGAGCGTTACTGTAGTGGTTGCGATTCGGAGTTGTGCGAGGGACAAGGTGGTGCGCACATCAAGGGTTGTCTCGAAGAGCGTTCAGCCACTCGCCAAGCGATGGCACCACAGCACGACGAGCCAAGTGCCGGATATTGTGATAGTAGCTGGCTTGACCGGGAGCGCAGCAGCGGGAAGTTTTGTCAGCGTCGTGCGGAAGACAATACCAGACGCAGGGGTGCAAGATCAGCCAGAGGGTGTGCCGCCGCGCCGTACTAGAGAAAGCCAGCGACTGACGACAGGTGTTGCATCTTCCAAATATCCCGCATCGGTCCAAAAGCGCGCCAGATCGCGCGGACGTATGGCCAGCGCACCAACGCGAACCAAATTGTTCTTACGGTGAACAACGAACGAATTGGGTCGTTGTGCTCAATAGACGTTACCTACAGTCAGACCAGATTAGTCCGGCTCGCTCGCTTCGGCTTGCTCGGCTTCGCGAATGGCAAGACAATATATATATATATATATGAACGTGTTCCGCGTTATCTTCATTATGACACAAAGACTTCGCATACGTAGCGCTACGCCTGAATGCGTGGGAGTTGGCTCCAGCACTTGGTCGTTGGGACCGAGCGGCGCACGAAGAGATCCATCCCGTGGTGGACCCCACTCGCCGAGTCATAGCTCGCGCGAGGTCAAGACAATGGGGCACTAAACAAGGGGCTCGCATCGTGGGCTCGCATAGGTGTCACCAACACAGTATTTCGTGATGAGAGGAAGGCTTCATTTTTTGGGGTTTTAAATAGTCGGTGGTCACAACATGGAGGAGGTTCATAGTTCATGCACATTAGAGTGCGTCCTTAGAAGGAAGCCAGACACGGCATGGTCGCGGCAAAGGCTTCAACTTCGAGGAGCTTGCGCATAGGGCGCTGCTGAAGGGCCTTCTTTGTCTTCTGGAGGTCGCGGACTTGCGTCTGGAGCGCGTTGCGGGGTGGCATGACCTGCGGCTTGGCCTTATTGAGGCCGCGGGCCTTGGGTGCAGCACGGCGCGTCGTCGAAGGGCGGCGTTGGGCCTTGGCGACGGACGCCTCGCACCACGAGTAGCTGGTCGTCGACATCATATCTCCCTTGCTTCCTTCGGACTCGGCAAATTGAAAAGTAAGAGGAACGTGGCGCATGCAGCTTTCGCTCAGGTGTATAGTACAAGTGAATTAAACACCATTACAGTCGGCGCATCTCCCACATTCAAAACGCTGTTAAGTTGGCCCTGCGCGATGTTTTCATAATTAAGGTCTTGCTATTTCGCTGCTAAGTCGTGCTGGACATTCGCAGCTTCTTGAAGAACGACTGCATTTTGTGTTGGGGTGAGTTGGACCGCGCCATCTTGCCACGGTGGACAGCGCGTCGTCGGCAAGACAGCGGTTGTAATGCGCTGGTCTTTGATCCCGACGCTGCGTCGACGCTTTGGACGACTTGATACTGCATTTGCCGTCTGCTTAGCACTCGCCATTTGTTGCATATCTTGCATTTCTGGACTTTTCGGTCGAGTTTGTGGACTGGCAAGGGCTGCCGACCAGGTTTCGAGGCAGCGACCGCTGGACGCATCCACGCGACACGATCGAGGACCTGAGCCAAAGTATCGGCGACACATCGCGGCATCTGCCTCGGATTGTTTTTCGCTTGTCCTGCGTGTCTTGGCGGCGGAACAAAGACGAACGCCAGAGTGCATGACTGCACGTCCCACGTGTCTCCTGTCAGGCGCTGTATTAAACACAAGACATCATATTAAGTTTTAAACATATGGGCCTTGTTCAGTATTCCTCCGTGCTGCGTTCGTTCGAATCTTCCACTCGTTCGTGGTGCGGATTGGCTGCGGGAATTTTTTTGTCAACCAATCAACGCGCGCAAGACGTTTCGGTGTTTCAATTGGCCAATCAAAGTGTTCTTGTAGGATCGCCTGCGCCAATGAGCAGCCAGCACGAGTGGAAAGGATCTCAGCTTCGATATCCAAGGGCGATGTCGCATGATGGTCGCATACCCTGGTCATATCGCGATGGACGAAGCCATTCCTTAACTGGCACCAGCAACTACGAGCAGCATGGCCGATGAGAAGCGCATCTCCTCGTATGCTGCGCCTTGGCACATGCTCCGGGAAGCCATGTCCCGCTTCACCGCCAACGTCGAAGATGTCGTTGACCGCGTCGTGATGGCGCTTCGAGCTTCGGCACCAGCACCCACCGCAGCCTTTACACCGCGTCGCATACTACTGCCGTCGGGGCGCGACGCCACTGAGCTTCTGCATACCCGGCGCCGGTCGTGCGTATTTGCGTCCATCGCCGACAATTGGGACAGCGAGGATGAGACGGATGGCAGTGAAGATGCCTTCTCGATGGACTGCGACGCACTCTGCGACGACGAAGACGAAGATGTCGACATGGCGTTCTCAATATCCGAACACATGGAGCGTGCTCACGCCGCCCGGGTGCTCCAGCGGACGTACCGCCTTTGGCGACGACGCGCCGCCAAGCGCCGTGACCAGTCGATGGTCGTCGTCCGCGGACCGTCCCCTCGCCCACTGAAGCGAAAGCGGTCTGAAGGTTTTGCGGCGCCGAGCGACTTTGTGTGGCGCAGCCGTGCGATTGCGCAAAAGCTCCTCGAGCCGACCGACAAGCAGCGATTCAGGGCGCTCATGTCGACGTCGTAGTCGTCCCTCCGTGCTTTGTACGTCAAACTATAATAGAGCGTTCCGTGTACTAGTAGTATTCACGACGATTCTAACGCGACGCATCCACCGATTTCCGCGTTCTCGCTGGCCGCAGTACTACTACGTCGCGTATTCGCCGCCATCGAGCTCCTGAGTCCAGTCAAACGGCTGCCACATCGCGAGGAAGTCGCGGACGCGGTCCTTCTCGGCGTCAAACGAGGCGTGGTACTTGCCATATCGGCGCGGGTCGACCTCGAGGATGCCCGAGAGGATGTCCATGCCAAAGTCTTTCGGGAATTGCGCCGCGTCTTCAATGATGTGACCGTACCCACCGTTCGACCACTCGACGTGAAAGTAGGCGAATTGCTACAGCATTCGACACTGGATGAAGTCGCCATCATCGATGGACCATACCGGCGGGATCGAGCGTTGGAGCCCCTTCTCGGTCGTGTCGATGACCTTCTTGTGCGTCGCCCACTCTTCGTCGCATTCGACCAAGCCTTGCTTAAAGTACATGGGCACGTCCGGCTCCAATTGCAGCGGCACGGGCACGCACTCGATGACCGTGTGACGCTTCTTGGCTGGGTCCATCGTCGTCTCGAGAAAAACAACTGCGGAGCCCGAGGCCGCCCACATGGAGCGCAGCGCCTACGACAGTGCATATTACGCGATCAAGTAATCCACGATTGTGTACCTTCTTGAAGCGTTCAATCTCGGCGACCGTGTTTTCGTCGGCCGCCGTCGTCGACGCGAGGTGTTCCATGGGGGCGATGATGCACTGACCGGGCACGATCGTCGCGGCCGACGGCAGCGCGACGTATGCATACTCGCCCATCGCAATCATGAGGTGCTTCTTGAAGCTCTCGCTCTTCATACAGAACCAACAGCGCTGCATGGCCGTGTCCCACTGCATCCGGCTCTTGAGCATTTGCCGCTCCGAGCTCTGGACGAACGCGCGCTCCGTGAGCCGGTCCTTCGCATCCCGGTATAGCCGCATGTCGACCGCATCTTCCTCGTCGAGGCCGCTCGCACTTGCACCTTTGACGTCCGAGTGATTGTAGCGCGTCCCCAGGCGCATGACGTTCTGCGCATGAACCGAGTCCATATCTGGCGCGTTGCGCTCGTTTCGAACGAGCTCTTCGAGACTCAAGTGTGCACCGCTGTCGACAGTGCTACGCTTGCCCTTCTTGGAGCCAGGCTTGAGATCCTCGGGCCGCATTGGCACCCGGGCGCGCTGACGAGATGCCATGGCCGGCGCAGACGCGTGGATTTCGTCGCGCTCGGCTTCATTGAGCTGCGCCGTAAAGCGCTCAAAGTTGACAAGGTCGCCGCGCATCTTGGCCTTGAGTGCACGCGCGGCAAGCTGGTTCAAGTCGATCGCACCCGACTCTAAACGAGGTACTTCTTCCGTCAAAACAGACGTCGGCGCCTGCGTTGACGCTTCCTCGACGACGGCAATTTCTTCAGTGGCGATAGGTGTCGCTCGGGGAGCTGTCAGTGACCCGTACAAAAACGCCGCACGTCTCTTCGCTTCCTCTTCGGGCTCCGAGTTGACGGGGCTCGGCGACCGACGGGACCGACTGCGACTGCGTCGACGCGGACTCGGCAACCGACGTCGGGTTCGATCCCGACTGCGATCACGGGATCGACGTCGGTTACGGTCGTCTCTGCGGCGCACGGGCTGCCCGCGGCGGCGTGTATCGTCGTCGCTGTCCGGAAGCTTCGAATAATCGATAGGCTCCTCGTCATCCTCGGCGTATTGTTTGGCACCCTCCTTATCGCCGCTGCTTGTTGCCAAGGCCGACGACGAAAGCCCCGAGCGCTCGATGCGCTTGTTGTACTTCTCAATAAGAGACTTGTCGCCACCCGAAGAAGATGCGTCACGTCGTCGTTGCTGGTCCGAATCGCGATGACGCTTGTAGTGCAGGTGCGCGTCCATGCGGGCGCCGCGCGCTTGCTCCTCGAGCATTTGCAGGTCCATGCCATACTGCGCCTGAACGACGGATTCCAGGGATTGACCCGTCTCCCGCGCGCGGTCCTTCGCCCGCTGCAGCATCTTGGCCTTCCAGCTCGCACCGCCGTCGCCGACAGTTGCGTCCACGGGCGCGGCCATCATGGCCACTTGCTCGACTTTCTTGGGGTCGTAGAGGCCGTAGAGAAGACCTGTGTTGGGTTCGCGCTTCCCGTTGTCAATCTCCTCCTGAAGCGTTGCAGCTTCGTCGGCCTTTCGCTGGTCGTCGACCGAGAGCTCCACCTTACGTGGCCCCGACACGAAGTCCTGCCACACATACACGATCACTACAGGAGCCAGAGCTTGCACACACCATGTCCATCCATTCGTCGCGCTTGAGCAGCGACGGCGTTGGGGCCGGCGGCGATGGAGGCGCGTCCTTCTGTGTGATGAGCCGTGGTCATCAAGCATGAAGAACGTACCTTCTTCTTGTGCTTCTTGGACTCCTTCTTGTGCTTCTTGGCCTTCTTCTTGCTGCTCTCGTCGTCCGAGTCGGCGTTCGCGACGAAGCGGATCCCGGACAAGAGCGACGACATGCTTGCTGTTTCGCACCGGTCCTCGACTGCCTCCAGTCCCCAGCGTTGAGTTGAGTTTGGCCCCTACAAACATAAATACTGAAAATTGAGTTCCGGGCACCGGTATTTGAGTTGAGCATCGGAAGTCCCATGATTGGCGGATTGGCTGAAACGTAATAAGCCAATCCGAACGCACCATTTGCCACCCGCACCCCCGCATTCAAACCCACGTCGTTGATAAGTATACGTGCCAGGCGTCGGTGGTCTTTTAGA